GTTCTTGCACGCTAAGCTAACATGTTTGAGCTTCCATTTACCACAACTGATGTGTGAATAAAAGACTAAATTTAATCTGTTCATTATATAAAGCAATCGAGTCTCTTTAGAAAATTTGGACTAAACCTCTTAATGTAGATTCGTTTTATGATCTCTTTATTAACACTTTGAAGTGTCAGAGTGGTAGTAGTGTAGACTTTCAATGGAAGGATAGAAATCTCACCGTTTTCACAAACTTACATTTGTGTAGTTTACTCAGAGAAGATTAAAAAACTTGTACTTTGAAACTTTTAGGGCCCCCAAAACACTGTTGTGTAAATTAAAATCCAAAACTTCAGACTGATCTCATGAAATGGCGTATGTATGACACGCCAATTTGTATTTCCATTTTTGGCGTGCTATCAACACGCATATTCGCTTTTCATCGAGTTAATGAATGCCGTTGACTTAACGTTACATTACTATACATATAAATATATGACCTGCCCCAACCCTGTCCCTAAACCTACCTGTCACTGGGGTTAATACAATTTATGAGTCTTTCCCCATCACCCTAGAAAAAAAAATATCGCTCCCCAGATGTATATCTACATTTTGCTTCGTTTCGCTCAGACATTTAATGGCGTGTACACACACGCGGAATCACTCAAATATTTATCGGCGTGTACATACACGTGGAATCACTTGGACATTTAACGGCGTGGACATACACGCGGATAGCTAAAAATGTGTATAGATAATGTTTACGCAAAAGTCATGATGTCATGTTGCATTTTTAGTTGAAAACAGCGTCCCCAAAACAATGAGTTTGATTAAACTAAAACTTGGGACAGAATTAACAAAACTTTCTTTTCTATCAAACATTGGTTATCTTTATCTTGTGTTGGGATGTCTTGTGTCACATCTCACATAAACATTTCTGTTCCCTCAGATTGAATTCCCAGATAATCACTGGCTACCTGAGCACATGCGGCCTGACCTGGAGCGGTTGCTTCCCGCCAGAGATCACGTCATGGTGACAGATGATATGGAGGAGGTTGACCTCTGTGAAGTAGATTATGATACACAAAAGAGAAACTACGGCGGTGAAGCCTACGATGAAGATGAAGGGCCCAGGCAAGGTGGTGTCCAGTGCCAGACTCAATAAATGACATAGGAACATTTGTGCAATACTTTCTGAAATATGACTTCAAGTCTAAACTGAAAATTAGGGTGGTTAAATCTAGGTATTGCAGAGTAAAGCATACAGCAAAGATTTCCCCCTACCAAAGCCTTACAAAATGGACCATTTTCTCATCACCATTGGAATTCCTAATTCTGAAGCATCTGATGAGGAAGAACCAGGAATATTTTGCAACATCCACCACAGATAAGTATTAATAGGCAAAGGAATTATTTTGAATAAAAATATCCAGGTAGGATATAATAGTACTTTATTTTTGCATGTAAATTATTCATCTCGTGTGAGTATGTTCACTTTTCTTTCTCTGTTAGATGTGATTTGGACAAACTGGTGCAGTTTTTTTTTGTCAGTTAAAATAAAATCGGTATTTATATATTTTCTAAGAATATGACTCCGTTTAACTGTTTAACTTGTCAAAGTTTCTTGCCTTGTGTTATATTTTTCACAAATAAAACATTTCCTCCTTTGTTTACTTGTACATGATCGCAACTGAATGGAAGCGATTTAGGTATGCTATATTTATTTAAGCAAAATGTTCTAGATGAAGATAGCATAAAATCTAAGGTGAAACATTTACTTTACAATTTTTGAGCAGCAATATATATGAGAATGATTTCTGAAGGATATTTTAACAATATTACAGTTTTTAATATATTTTGTTCAAATAAACATAAGTTCATAACAAAAAAAACATTAAAAATCTTATGACCCCAAACTTTTATTAAAAACAAGGATAACAATATCCTCAGCAACTTTGAATGCATTGATGTTAAAAAGCACATAACATGAAGTCAGCATGCTGATTATTGCACAAGATGATAAATTAAACGTAAAACATCACACAGAAATAAATTGCAGGATGCAGTGTGTCATGCAGAAGAATCTTTATTTAGAACCACTGAACTGATAACATGGTAGAAAGAACCTGCCATGCACCAATTATAATCACATTTAAAGTTCATTCATTGTAATCAATGAAAAAGTAAGGCATTAAGAAGTAGCACAATTTCTTTGTATTCAAAGCATCATTCATTTTTCATCCTTCTCAGTGTTGCTTTCTTCTGAAAGAGCAACCTATTTGGAAAAAGAAAACGTAGCTTCATATCATATTGCAATATGAGACACTGTATCACCAGATAACATTATATGCAGTCAATTCTGATGCAAAAATACAAAATCAACAGTGACCCTGGACATAACATACAGTAAATAATTACACACCCTCAGTCAGCCTAGCTTTTCCTCCTGTTGGCTGGCAGAGAACGGTTGAACACCCAACACACAACACAACTGTCTGTGCATGACTAAACACAGTTGTGATCTTATAACAACCTACGTGGAAATAAGCAGAAAAGATTACATTTTCTACAAGTGAAATATTACACATAAGGCAAACAAAGTTTCTTCAATAGATCTCAAACCTGGACATTTTACATCCATGAAGTATGAGTTGGGACTCTGCACAAGCCTTTTCTTCTTATGCTGCCTTCGTTCAAAATCAAAGGACGGGTTGAGTAGATCTTTGGCCAGCTGTTACAATAAGAATATATGAATAAATAGAAAAAACAATATATATAAATAAGGTTATATATATATATATATATATATATATATAACACACACACACACACACACAGTAGTGGCCAAAAGCAGTGTCCAGCCTAGGACATTTGACATCTTTACCCTTTATTTAAACATTATTATTTATTGTTTAAGCGTATTGATTTGTGCTAGAGTCAATTGTTTTATTTGTGATAATGCTGTGAAACATGCCAAATTGTGTTGTCATGATTTTTGGCCAGGCTATCATACAGAGAAATTATAAACATGCAAAAAAAAAAAAAAAAAAAAAAACAGAGAACCAATAAAATATTAATAACTGATTATGATGTAATCTATGCATGCCTTTTTTTTCCCCAGTGAGGCCCTTACTTTTGGACACTAAAGAATTTGTTTATACACACACACACACACACACAATGTTACTATATACATTTCTTTCAACAATGACAGTTACATTAATCTCTTAATTAGGAAATCTGCAATATATTTATATATTATATAGATATAATAGATCACAAAAACAACATTGTTCAACAGCCATATATTGGTCACTTCCCTCTTTGTCAGTATGAAAACTAGAATAACTTACTTTTAAAAACACGATTGAAACACCAATCTGATTCAATCTATCGTTTTTTGTCGGTGCTATGTAACAGTTGAAATGTTCCTCGTGTAAAGTGAGACATTAACGTTAGGCCTTATCTGAACCAGCGCCATGTGAGATCAAAAACTTTCCCATGTTCATCGCACGGTTAAAATAATCAACAACTGGATTACTATTAAAACGACAGACTATATAATCTATATTAACAACTGTCAAATGCAAGATTCGTAGTCTAGCTGAGTAAATCCACTTACTGGCATTGTCGGGAGCTGCTGATTTTCGCATTCGTGTGAGTGTGTGTGTGTCTGCTGCTTTCCTCCTCGCTCGGGTAACTGCAGGGTTGCCACGCGCAGCTTCATAAAGCAAATCTGATCAGACATGCCCAGGCATGCTCAACAATAAAACACTCCTTTATACATAGGGCCCTGTAAAACTATCAGTCTAAAGGTTCTTTAACACTGAGTCCGACATTTTCGTATGGGTTTGTATTCGTTAGGTTAGGGTTCAATTTTGGACTCAGCGTGAATGACCTTATCAAAGGGACCCATCTATCTATCTATCTATCTATCTATCTATCTATCTATCTATCTATCTATCTATCTATCTATCTATCTATCTATCTATCTATCTATCTATAAGTTTTCATGGACTCCCGACTAAATTGTTATAAGGAAGAAGTGGATTAAAACTTTAAAAGAAAACAAGGTAGCACGTTTGTTTGCAGCCGGCACTTTAGTGAATCAGACTAATTTACCATGCCATAAATAAACTTAGTGTAGTCCTTCATCAGTTCGCCAGGTGATTCAACAGAAGTGGCAGTGCACAAAGATCACAGAATCCGGAAGTACTATGTATCAGCGTGATAATCCCCTATTGAAAAAAAAAAGAAAATAGACCCTCTGGGTTGATATTTCCTGTACTGGCAACCCTGCCATTTCTCAGTCAGAGCTCCTAAAATGCAGTTCCTTCCTTTGTTCTTAGCAGATTTCTCCACTACAAAACACATTTCATTGTTTGATTTATTTAATTTAGTTCTTCTTTGATTGAAGCGTAATTACGAACGCTGAGTAGACAAAACATCTACTATTAATTTACTATATCTGTTATGTACAATCTCTCTAATCTGATCGTCTACGCCTCCTAGTGGCTGTTAAATGGCAGCATTTTTTTTTTTTACCTGTCTATATGCAATAATTATTTTCTAGACGGTTTTTCTAACCCTCCCTATTAATAATCAATACGACCAGCATCTTCTTGGGATAGATAGATAGATAGATAGATAGATAGATAGATAGATAGATAGATAGATAGATAGATAGATAGATAGATAGATAGATAGATAGATAGACAAAATCCTTCTCACTTAGTATTCAATATCGGTATAAAATTTTTAAAAATGTGTTAACAAGCCTCACAATAGATTCATTATTGTTTGTTATAAATGCAGTGCTTTCTCTATAACCACCCGTGATGTACCTTGGGGGCTTCTATATAGACATAATTGTGTGTATGGGCTCCTAGAGTTGCCGGTAGCCTACTGTACCGTGTCACTGTCATAGTTCTCCTGAAAGAAAAGACATGTTCTCCTAGAAACTACATTGACCAATCGCATACGTGTCGTCGCGTTCACGTCACAAAATGAGGCCCCGCCCTCGCTCGAGACCGTATGATTTTTGTGTCAATGCCATGAACAAGGGAAACTGTGCACTGTCATTCATTAAGGAAATACTGGCTTGGTAAATGGCGAAGACTTACGATTACCTTTTCAAACTCTTGCTAATTGGAGACAGTGGAGTGGGAAAGACATGTCTGCTGTTCAGATTCAGCGAGGACGCGTTTAACACCACCTTCATCTCCACAATCGGTCAGTTCACCGGTGATCTGGGTAGAAGGTATTGGACGGTGTCCCGTTATATGCAGGACAATAGTGTTCAGAGACAGTAAAACTGTAATAATTAAGTTTCCAGTTTCATTTTCATTGATAAAGTAGGTTTGAAAAGCACATGTGTTTTTTTTTCTTCAGTTAATTATATGATTATCTTTGATTTTAGACATGCATATGATTTTAGACATGCATAGGCCTTTGATTACGTAGACAAATTAAAATATATATTTCTCATAATGTTTTGTTATATATAATAGATTGTTTAATATTTTATATAATTTAAATCTATTACCGGTATGTATTTTTATTTCTATACAAATCAGTATTAATATTAAAAACTAGTATTAACTAATAAAATATGTAGGTAAATAATCATAGATGTATTATCGATTAATAAATAGGTAGATGGGTAGAATCTATCTATATCTGATACAGATCCTCAGATACACTCTGGAAACAATGCTGTCGGTGAAGGTGTGAGAGTCATATTTTGCTGACCACAGCTGCATCTACTTTTAACCTGTCAAACCCTGCTCACTAATGGCCTTACAAGTTCATACAGGAGTCTACACAAGAGAAACATAAACTGTATTATTGAGTTATATGTTCATTTTGTGTTCATGCTAATGGGTTCAAGCCACTTAGTAAGTTGCTGTTAGATGTTTTGCTGTAGTGTTCACTGTAGTGTTCAGGTTTAAAACCCATGACCATGGGTTACGCCTAAGATTCTGTAAAATAATATTCATATGCGTACAGGACGAATAAGTGCGAAATTTGCATTGCAAATGCTTAAATAACCGAATCAGCTTTTCTCAAATAGATTTTCTATAATTGTTTTTCCCTGTCAGCGTAAACCTCATAACATTTTGTTTAATATACGATTTAAACAAGAAAAAAGAAAATGAAAACAGGTGTTCATTTCTTATACAATTTAACTTCCCGTGCACATGTATCTTGTTTTAAGGATTTTTTAGACAAAATACGTCTTGCATTGTGTGTGTGAAAGCTGCACAGTTGTCTTTCGTCTGCCTGCACAGAGAGTTTAGTCATTTCCTTTGTCAGTTTTTCCATCTGATTAAAACGTCACCGCCCCCCTCTGCCTTTGTTTGCGATGCTGTCTTGCAATGGGCTCTCTGAGCCTCGACTTTCTTTCAGACTTCATTTGTATTTACATCCCATTTATCTGCAAAACCAGCACATCAAGTCAAAACAGCAATTTCCCTGAAAAAAGTAGCTTTTTTTTTTGATGTGAGAAATCATCATGACCCCTTTGCATAAACAATATTTTGATGACAAAGTCAGGACGGCGTGCTGGGGAAAGTACGGTTCCTTTGTGTGGGGTCATATAGACTTGACCGTGAACAGAGAGCTGTACTGTTTGAATCCCCATCATGTTCTCGTGATATTCACTCAGCCCATCTCGGCATTCTTCCGCCAATGCAGTGGAGCGTTTGACTGGCATCTGCTTTCTTGTGCCAGGACGTCCATGACCCCAGTTGTGGCCACTCTGCATACTTCCCCACACTTCTCTGAGCTGTCCACCTCCACTTCCTGTGACTCTCTCTCTCTCTCTTTCTCTCTCTCTCTGTGTGTGTGTGTGTTTCTCTCAGGGTTGTGATAGTGCTCAGATTGCTTGATAAATTGCTTGTCATGTCCCTTATTTTAACTGTAGCTAAGCATTTGGTAAATTACTGAATGTAAATGCAATATACAAACTTTCATTGATTGAAATGCCAATGAACTCCATAATGTTTGAGTTGTGTTTGGATGTTCTGGGTGTAAAGCAACACCCAGGTCTCCAAATATGATATCTGGTCTCTAAACGGCAAAAAAAAAAAACAATTTCTTAAGGACCGTTCGCACCAAGGACATAACTGTAATGATAACAATATAGTTTTTAAAAGTGTATACAGTAGCAGAGTCTACACCAGAACTACAATAACAATGCCACAATGTCATTGGAATCACTTTCGCGATTCTTTTTCAGCTGATGAACGATAAAAACATTGACAGCCAATCAGAATCCATCCCGAGAGAGCTCTAGCATTTAAAGCATCAGATGCCAAAACTGCAGTGTGTGTGTTTTTAATAAACAGAACGTTATTGTGCGTTGCGTTGATGTCGACGCGAATTGTTATAGTTGGCTTGAATGGATTTTAAGGTCTTGTTTTCCAGTATACATATCTAACAAGATAAATACAGTATGCCAAAATGACATAAGATGAAGATTGTCAGAGAAATCAAACTAAATTTAATGAAATGTAAGTGTAAAACAAGAACAATCTTGAACAACTACAATATATTGTTGTAGCATTAGACATTTTTCCCACAGGAAAACCACATCACAAAGCCTCCTGTTTGACTATAGTCATATTGAGTGTAAAGCTCATCTTTTTGAATTTCTGTTGAATTTGTTTCATAAATAAGCTCTCATGAATGGAAACAATCTTTCTACAACTTCAATAGGTTTAAAATGTCAGATACACAGAGATTCAGAGAACAACCTAAAATGCTAGGTTTGTTGAAAACTACAACTTGTTTGATACAAGCAACAAGCAATTTTCCACTAACCAGCAGGACAAGAGGACAGTTTAACCCCAGGAACTGGAAATAGCTCATTATATCGTCACCACTGCAGTGTAACATTGATTGTATTTGGTTCCATACGGTGCCAGTCACTGAAGATCTGACGATGTTTCCCTTCTTCCCTGTTGCCAGGAATTGATTTCAAAATCAGAACTATCGAGCTGAACGGCAAGAAAATCAAGCTGCAGATATGGTGAGCAGAAATCGTTTGTCATTACAGTGCCAAGTTGTGTTTTATATCCTGTTATGTCAGCTGTGTAAACTCTTGGTTTGTTTAAAGAGCTTCTCACACCTTAAACAGATATATAGGGAACAGATTCTACACTTAATTTGAGTTGTGTTGCTTTTAAACATTATACCAGTTAGCTTTGAGGCATTATATGCTATTGTGGTCTACTCCTAAAAGCACATATCTACATTTTATTCATCTTATGCACAAATATTAAACATTTTTTGAATATGACAATGAAACTTGTGAAAATACACTTTAGTACACTTTTAAAATAAGTACTTATTACAATTATGCTATAAGAATATAGGCCTATACTTCAAAATAATATATTAAAATGCGAACTGAATATGTTTTCAGACTCTTAACTGCATGTCATTTGCTATTAAATGAATTGTATTATATAGTTTTTATTAAATGCAATTCTTATTCGGCCCACTTTATATGTAATTTCATAATTACTCCTGTTGTCTTTGATATATGGTTAACGTGTACTGCTGAATGTACTAAATTACATTTTAATGTCATTTCTATTGAAATATTTTTACATCTTTGTAATGATGTAGTTTCAATTTTGTACATTTAAAATATGTGTGCTTTAGCATAGTTAGCAAAACAGAAGGATTTAAAATGTATTTAAAGGAAAACTTTGAATGTGACATTAAATAAGTGTGTTAAGTACACTTAAGTGACCTTTTATTTAATTCATATTATACTATCTGCAAGTACTACAATGAAGTGTAGCCTACTTTCTTTTTATTACAACTTGAGTATGATTAGCAAGTAGCTAATCATGATTAGCAAGTAGCTAATCATGGTTTGTTATTTTTGGTTTCACTAACACTCATACATTTGCACTTTTTCTGCTCTAAAACTTGATAAGCCCTTCAAACTTCTTTTTTAAAAAAAAAAAAAAACCTGGAAATATGTCTAAACAAAATAGAAAACAGTTAAATAAACCAGTTCATGTGCTAGCAATATGCTAGTTAAAATCTAGGCACTATACAAAGTTTTTTGGGATCCTTAAGTGCTGATATTATAATGGTCCTTGAGTGTACTTGATAAGTAAGAAGGAAATGACATCATACACTGTGGCTATTCTTCCTGTTAACAGTCATAATGTTCACACACCCTGTCCCGCAGACTAATGAAGGATGAGACGCGTAAACAGTAGTGTCATGGACATCCGTGACCTCTATCTGCACATCCTACTGGATGTTTAAATCAAAATTTAGGAAAGAACAAGGTGGGATTCACCACAAACCAATGTGAAGTGTTGAGGTTGAGCGAGGTGAAGAAGGAACGAGGTCAGGACGTGTATTTGCGTTTGACTGTCTGGTTGTTTTACAGGGACACTGCGGGGCAGGAAAGATTTAGGACGATCACCACGGCGTATTACAGAGGCGCTATGGTAAGACACTACACTGCAAAATAAATGATTTCATACTCAGTACTTTTGTCTTGATTTCCAGTACACATTTCTAAAAAAGGTCAGACTGCTGAAGGTCACTGCAGGAACAATGTTCTGTTGTTGCAAAGTGCCGGAAAAGAACAGAAAAACACTAGAGTTCATTTTAATCAAACCAAATCTGCTGAGTCTGAACACAACCTTAATATCTAAAGTGATTTTGCTATTTAATTAAATGTATCTTGATTTGAATGATTAGATATTTGTACTGGAAAACAATGCTTAGATATTAGATATAGCTTAGATATGTCTAAGCTTTGATTGTTTAATATTTTTGCTGGCTTTGTTTTCAGGGCATTATGCTGGTATATGACATCACCAGCGAAAAGTCATTTGAGAACATTAAAAACTGGATCCGCAACATCGAAGAGGTAACTGACATTACATATGTTCAATTGATAAAGTAAAATGTTTTACATTATAAAACGGATCCGGTCCTTATTTTTTATTGGTCCGTACACTGGGCCAACTGGAGGCCATTGGATAATAGGCTTGTTACCCACGCTGTAAATTCATATCAAATATAATTTTTCAAGTATTTGATACATTTGTTGAAGAATTACATTTCTTTTGACTGCTGAACTTCTCAATCACTCATTTCAGCATGCATCATCTGATGTAGAGAAGATGATCCTCGGAAACAAATGTGACATGAACGACAGGAGACAGGTGTCCAAAGAGAGAGGAGAGAAAGTGAGATCTCTCACATCTTAGACTAGTATTTCACACAAATAGATGTAAAATTAATAAAAAAAATATATATTGTATTTTATTTAAAAATGTTAATTATTGTAATACTACCTATTTATAGGTGTATTATATGGAATGAGCTAGTTTGTGTGATACTGGATATTTGTTAGTATAGTAACTGTTGTAATTTTTCCCGTTTTTTCTCTCCAGCTGGCAATTGATTACGGCATCAAGTTTTTGGAAACGAGTGCAAAAACCAGTGTAAATGTCGAAGAGGCCTTTTTCACCCTCGGCAGAGACATTATGGCTCGACTCAACAGAAAAATGGTGTGTTTTTTTTTGCAAATCTTCCAAAAAAAAAAAGACAAAACTCAAATGCATTATACTGGATATCATTTATGATTAATTGTCTTATAATTATTAAAAAAAAAATTCAAAAAACAAACAAAACGGTAACACTTTACAATAAGGTCTCAGTTGTTATCATTAGTTTATGCATTAGCTAACATGAATTGACAATGTATTTTTAAAGCATTCATTAATCTTTGTTAATGTTAGTAGTAGTACTAACACATTGTTTGTTCATGTTAAACATTGTCACTGTGAATTAATAAATGTTAACTTACACATATTTAGATTTTAAATAATGTATTACTAAATGTAGAAATGAACATGAAGATGACTAAATGCTGTAGAAGTATTGTTTATTGTTCATGTTAATTAACCAGGGCTGGCGATTCCTATAGGCGAACTAGGCGGTTGCCTAGGGCCAGTGTTGGGAAAGTGACTTTCTACATGAACTAGTTCAAACCAAAGGGCTAGAGCCGGCCCTGTAGTTAACTAATGTTACAAATTAAAAAGATTATTGTAAAATGTTACCACAAACAGACCCTTTTTTAACTGCATTTAGTTTTATATCGGTTCAGCAATAAAAAATAATAGTATATATTATTTATCAATTTTTCAAATTAAAATCTGTGGTGAAAATCAAGTTTTAATACCTATGTGGGTTTAAGACAAACTATGAGCAAATTCATACGTCAGCACCATCGCTGAGTGTTTTCTCCTTAAAACTGCAGTGAAACAAAGACAGTCTCAAAAATGCAGTTTGAAATCCCTGGTGTTTCTGACACAAACTACGTTGTAACCAATCACGTCAATGAGTGAATCTCTAAACTGGTGTGAGTGGAGGCGGGGCTAATTTGCATATTCATAGAACCGTATACTAAATTAGGCAAAGTTGTAAAGTCACATTCAAGCTATTTTAAGCCATGAAGATTTTTTTTTTCTAGAAAAAAACGCTTAAATATGTAATTTTGGTGATCAAAAATGAGTTTTAAGGGACAACATTATTGACAACAGACGGACCTTAAATCATTTTAAACATGTATAACTGTTCAAATGAATCATACCACACCATGGGGTAAAAAAAACAGGCCCATTATTTTATTATTGCATCTAGTTTGATATCAGTTCAGCAATTAAGTACAAAAAGTCTCAGGATTAGCTACTTATTTTAACTATATTAATATTTTTAAACCTAATTTCTTTTGTTTTATAGGTTTTACAATGCAATATTAAAATGTGTCTGTCTTTCCATTGCCTAGAATGATGGTGGTCAAGCAGATGGTGGAGGGCCGGTGAAGATTTCAGAGAAGCGCACCAAAAAGCACAGCATCTTTAAGTGTGCTCTGCTGTAACTCATTTTCAGCGCGTGGATACGTTCACTTGCTGCGTCTCTGCGGCAGCTCAGTTGGTATAACATATCACATGAGCCCCTGCAAAAGAGCTGGACCATCAGGCTCAAGAAGGTTTGTGTTTCCAAGCCCTTAAATTCAAGATGGAACAGAGGAATGATGCCGTTTTGAGAGATTTACATGGTTCACTCTGTACTAGAGTCACAAATAGGAAACGTCTCCTTTGTTGTGTGGTGATAATCGTGATGATCGTGTCAAAAGATAATGGATCAAATATGAATGGTTTGGCTTTGATATGTTTTTTGTAAAATATTCTATATAGACACAGCATTGGCTGGCTTAAAACATTTGCTGCTGAAGGCTTAAATGTATCGCGTACAATATTTATGAAGTAGTGAGCGAGTCTGTTTTCTTGTAATATGTTCCTTAGTGTCTTTTATACTACGTATACACTGTTCTTGCACTGGTTCAAAAAATATTATAGAGAAGATCTGTAAAAATGCCATTTTTGGAACACTAGTGGGTTAAAAGCACTTTACGTGTGTTTTCAATGAGCTCTTCTTACAGGCACATGTCCATGTATAGCACAGACGGACATCAATCCACCCGCTGGAAGGTTGCAAAGATGCAGGGCATGATGGGTAAAGGAATAGGGTATCAAAGGGAAGACGTCTTACTTTGCAAAATCAGAGTCGCCCATTGGAAGTGAGTGTCTGACACAGCCAGTCAAACCTGGGAACCATCAGTATTAAGGGAATAAGAAAAATTGTGCCTGTGCTGTAGATCCTTAGCATTAGGGTTATAATATAAGCATTGGGTTTATGTTCAAAATCAGCCCACCACTGATTTGTTAAAATGATGTGATTTTCTTATTTGTTAATTAAGATGATCATTAACTATTTAATTAGCATTTAAAATGAATGCTATAGTGTTTTGTAACATGATAGAACAAGAAAAGTCACTGATGCATGTTTATGTAAATCCATTAACGGAAACTGAGCTTTTTTTCTATTTCAATTTGATATTTCTCACATTTGTAGCTCTTTTTCATTTTTTGATTGAAAATGTCCAGTGCATGATATATTAATACTGTGCAAACAACTTTTATTTACGGTTTACATTTTTTTTTTCACCATAGGCTCTTAAAAGAAACATAGAGTTGCCAAAAAGTGGTATTATGTGATTTTCATGCTTGACTGTCAATGTAAGTTGTTTTAGTCAAAGGATCCAGGGTGAATTCAACTGGTTAAATCAGCACTTATGTTTCAAATGTGTGAGACATTTTGGTCCCCTATTGAAACTGCACTAAAGGTTGTGTCAGAAGAAGTCGTATAGATTACAGCAATAAAATGCCCCTATTTGGGAATTACTTCCGACTACTTGTGCTGATATTAGGGACCTTAAAAGCCTTGGATCTGTCTCCATTAATCTGAATTGGACAGATACTGCCATAGTATTTTGAAAGAATGTTTTGATGATTATTATTTCACTTTGACAAATGTAGCATATATCATGACCACTGATATTCAGATGGGACCATTGTTATGCATGTATTTTCTTTCATATTTGTGACTGTATGACCGATCTTTTTCAAGAGACATAACGCAACTGGTTACCTGAAAAGCTAATATGCTCATTTAAACATGTTAAAAAGACAATGTGAACAAGAATTTGAAGTGTGGTTTTATTAATTGTAGATTTTTATAATACATATAACCAAAGTAAATGCTGTTTAAACATATCTTTATACTTTTCAGCTTATTTTTTTTCTACCGCTGTACTTTCGTCTTTTTGTCAGCAATACATCATACAGAACACTAGATGGTGCTATTAGACAGTCTTATCACAACAATAAACAGCTCGAATACAACCTGTTAACTTCAAACATTTTGCATTGAGGTAGACTCATTTTGTCTTTTGACTAGTTCAGTTTGCATAGCCTTACACTAATTGTCATTATACTGTATAATACTGTGTACTGTTTACCAATCCAAGACATCTAAATCATAACAGATAAGTGGCATGATGAGGACTAGAAAAGTGAGCAAGGTTACATACTGTAATATAATGTATTTTGTACCTTAAATATATATAATGATGAAAATACTTTTAGTGCAAGCCCACAATTAATGAACATTTTAACTTGATTATGACACCTGAGTACTTCTAATCTAGTGTTACATGTGCATAAAAGGAATTGAATGTGTGCATCATTCTTATATCTTATTGGACTCCTTTAATGGCGCTTTTCCATTACTAGCACCAGCTCGACTCGGCTCGGCTCGACTTCGTTCTATTTTCCATTGCAGACAGTACCACCACAAATAGTACCCGGTCGTCATAGCGACACCTTTCGTTTCTCATTGCTCTATCAATCTCTCGCTGGATCCTCTCTTCAGTTACCAAACAAAGGAAAGTCTGCACCTCCTCGTTTGACCACGGCGTATTCTTCCGAGTTGCCATAATAATAGTAGTTAGTTTAGTAACTATCTCTGGCCAAACTATTATGTATTATTCTGGATACTCCATCTGACGTGTGCAATGATGACGTAGTAAATGGTGACGATTCTCTGACCAATCAGCAGTCGGCATTGTTTTCACGTGACATTTTAGTATCGCCTTTGCTCGCTCAGAACCTCGCCGGAGGTGGTACAAAAAAAGTACCCGAAAGCAGGAACAGGTACAACTTTTACATTGTGTAAAGGCGAGCCGAGTTGAGCCGAGCTGGTACTGTGTAGTAGAAAAGCGCCATAAGAGAGTCCCCTTTGTGTATGGCTACGGCTCGCTTGAATGTACATCATCTGTTGTCTTCTGTGTGGGTTTCCCTGGACCATCAGGAGAGTCTCCACAGGCTCCAGCAAGGTCTCTTTCACTGCTTGATCCATGGGCTCGTTTCAGACTGTCTCCTAAGGACTTGCAAGGTTTTGTGGACCAGCTCTTGGATCTTCCAGGGAGGAACATAGTGTCTTCTGGCAGAGGCAGGTGGCTACCATCAACTTGGACTTCAGAATCACTGGAAACGGCACCTGTAGTTATCTCCTCTGTTTGCCCTCCATCTTGCTTCTCTGAACTTTTTTCCCTCTCCAGACTTCCTTCAGGATCATCTGGATCCTTTGCCATCTTCTGCTGAGTATCTTTCTGGCGTTTACCCACTTCGTCACTACTTTCTTCCTGGTTTACCCGATCTACATCCAGCAATGGCTCTATACCAGTCGCCCCTGTTGAGTGTAGCTCTCCACCCTTTGTCATCCCATCTTCTATAATCAGCTGATTGATTGGTCCATCCGAACTGTCCAGTGTCTTCTCTCCTTCTTGCATTCCCATCTCCGCTTTACTGTCTATAGTAGAAACTCTCAGCCCCTGTTGCTCAGGCTGGTCAGAATGTTGATCTACCTTGAAACTGTTGCTAAACTTTTCAATCTGGTCTACCAAGGGTCTTACCAGTGATACCTTTGGAATCTGACCAAAAAGACTAGGGTGTACCTTATACTCATAACCAGCACTCCAACGCCTTGTAGCCGGAGACGCATCCATTCCTTCCCCTTCTTGATTTGCTTCCCTTTCACTTGCTTGATCAAATGAGATTGTGCTCCTATACTTTCGCACAGTGGATGGGGATGTGCTTTGTATTTCTGTGGGATAGTATCTGAAAGCTTTCACCTTTTCTAGAGGGTAGGAGGTAGTTGCCTGAAGTTTCACCCTCTCAGTCATCAAGACTTCTTTCTGTGTGGCACTATCCAAAGAAGTCTTGTCAGGAGCCGAGGATTTTGGTGATTCTGGCTTTGTCCCATCACCCTCAACACCCTTCTCACAAGGGAAGATTCGGATGTCCACACATGAGCCAAGGCGCCTTCTTGTCCCTGGAATATCTACCTCTAGATTCTGGCCATATTCCTTTGTGTTGAAGTTTGTAGTGCTTATTGTTTTACTCTGATCTGCCTCTTTTTCCTCAGGTGGACGTTCATCGACACCCAGGTAATAGCGGTAGAGGCTGTACCCATCAGCACTGTTGATGCTGCTGTGACGTTGAAGAGAAGAGGGGTCACAAATAGAGGAGGCTGTTGAGCGTGTCCGGGTCAATTCAGAGTGGTCGATTCCCACTAGTCTTTCCAAGGCATTCACCATTCGGCCATTAATGTCTTCCAGCTGGGCCAAACGAAGGTCCACTGTCTGAAGGGAGGCCTTCATCGTGTTCTCCCTCTCATTCACCTCCTCAAGGCGCATAGACATGTTCTCCACCCTGTGCATGATGATCACATAAAAAAGAAGTTTGCAAAAGGGTATTGAGGAAGTTTATTTGTATAAGTGTATTCCAACTACCTTTCATTTGTAACCCTGATACGCTCATCATTTGAAGAAAGTTGCTCGTCTTCTCTCTCCCTGAAATATTCCTCCACACATTGCTCCTCAAACTCATACAGCATCTTCAGCTCTTCCGGGGTAAGAATTAACTCTTTATGACGAAAACAGAATACAAACAAATGTTTATCTCATGTTCAGCTTGACCTCCTGCATCTTGATCCTTTATGATATGGTCTAATTATTTTATGAAACTCACTTAATCCTTTATCCTTCTCATCCAGTTCTCCCTCCTTTTTCTTGTTACAGCGACAGCAGAGTTTGCGGAATAGGATGTAGAGGTGGCTAAATATAATGAGAGGTGGAGGTAGCACAGGCCTGTCATGGAAGGTCATGATGAGCTGGTATCTCTGAAATTTCCACACCTGGTTGGAGATGGACTTAACCTCAAAGAACGTGTTGCTTTATTGGGAGGAAACACATTACAACTATCAAATCAAAAGCATTGAACTGCTACTAAAGATACACCAATGAAGACATTTTGGTAAAGAAAAATTGCCACAACTTATTCATTATAATGCAGCCGATCCTACACTGTTTGTTTTTACATGCAAATAAGTCATCAAAACATTGTAATGGTAGCATTCTTACTTGAAGACGGCAATGAGCAAGTTTACAAGCAGGATGTTGGCCACTAACAAATAACAGGCCATGATGGCTGGAGTCAGCCATGCTCCAGGGATGCAGGGTGGAAGCTTTTTCCCATCCTCATCATATAAATTTTCTCCACAAGGGGCTGTTTAGAAAAAGCTTAAGTGTTACATTATAGTACCAGCGATGAATTTGTTTTGCATTCACAACAATTCCAATGTCACTATGAAAACAGTGTTTGTCATTGTGTCAAATGTTCATCGTTGTGCTTACGATTTATTTCCATGGCGTAAACTTCAGACCATTCCAGAGGGGCAAAATAGAGACAAACAAGTTAGTTAGTGCAATTGGAAACCAATGTGTGCACCAAGAATTAATCGAACACAATATCAATCAAGAGACAGGCAGGATAATCAACTAGAAAACTGTTCCAGTCTATACAGCCCAAAATACTGAAAAAACAACAATTTGACTAAAACACTTTCTGTCAGTTTGAAATATCTCTAAACATTCATAACTCCACAAGAAAGCCACTAAGCATGAAGTTATAGGGGAAACTGCAACAAACAACCGGATCACAGAGGTAATGAAGATATTAGTGAGGTGTTAGAATGGTGGATCAGACTGTCATCTATCTATACCCTGGAGGCAGGAAACAAAATCTTACTATAAATTCTAGTCTTAC